CTAAAACACTTAAGGCCAGATGTATTTTGGAATTCAGATTTTTTGGATTTTGGGAAGGTAGTTGAGTAACACTTCCCTGCAAGGTCTGTGTCAGCACCCCACAATCAAACCCATTAATGGTTCTATAGGAAAATATGTAACTATTCCTACCAAAAGGAATAAGCCACGATTATGAACAGTCTCACATCAGTTTGTGCTGGTTTGGCAAATGGGTTCTGGAAAAAAAAAACCTTTGTTTCTCAGAGGTTTTTGGATTTTGGAATTGTTATAAAGAAGATAGACAGATTATACATCAGTATTATTCTTTGTACTTTTCTTTAAATTCTATAAGTCACCTCCTCCCCCACCGAAAGCTGTGAGCTGTCTTTAAAGTCACTTCCCAAATAGCAAAGTGTTTGCAATGGGGGAAAAACTCAAAAAGCAAAGAAAACCCAAGAGTTTTTCATTCATACACACACAAGACAAACAGAAATTGGGAGAGGGCAGCTCATTATGTGGCTTACTCAGAATAGGATGAGAGTAAAAAGGATTTCATTAGGCAGAATTTCCTGCCTGTAAGAGCCGTAAAATGTGGCAAGATCTTGCAAAATAAGTAATGCAGTCTCTTGTGGAATTTGTTAAAAACATAACCAAAAACAGGTTCTTTTTCAATAATGATATGAGCACTATGCATCTAGAGATGGATAGAATTTTTAAGATTATTTTTCCCTTTAATCAAATACTGTCATGTTATTTCTGAGCTAGACAGTATTCAGGTATAGCTAAAATCACTTTTTCAACCTTTAGAGTTACATTCATCTGATGTGTAAAATTCTTACCTCCATTGTCAATTAGCCAGCGGTTCTGACTGCCCATGGGGTCTTTTTTTTTTATCACACCCACCACATCACCTTCCAACAGTGAGACATCCAAGTCCTGGGCAGCATTGAAGTTCCGCTCTGCTTGGAAGAGTTTTTCAGGGGGATACCTTGCCAGAAGGGTGGCCCGGAGTTCTTCTGACTGTAGCATGTAACTTGGCTAAAAGGCATCACAAGATATTTCATCACAGGGCTGTGGGTTAGCTCAGTTGGTTAGAGCGTGGTGTTGTGAACACCAAGGTCAAGGGTTCCTATCCCCATACTGGCCAGTTGCCAAAACAAAAACCCCTCCTTGGCCAGTATCATAGCAGCCAGAGTCCAGAAATGATCCAACGACAATCAACCACTCACTACCCCATCAGATGCTTTTGTGACTGAGCCAGCCCATGTGGCTGGGTAAAAATCAGGATTGTTTAGGCAACATTTCGGTCCCTTTGGTGATTCAAATGCCATCTAAAGAATCAAAATATGTTAAAGAAAAAAAATTACTAGGTCTTTTTTTATGTTTTTGGTGGCTGGCCGGTACAGGGATCGAACCCGGGACCTTGGTGTGATCAGCACCATGCTCTAGGTGGTCTTATATTTTGCTAGACGAACCTAAACAATTGAGACTTTCCCTATATTCCCCATCTATAAAAACAGTCATAAAAATAAGAAAAAATAAAGGTAATAATAAATGTGATTCTCCCGTTTAAAGTAATATAAATTGATGTTTATGGGATTATATGGGGCAAAAATATTATAAGCAAACACATATCAGCAGTCTTTAAGATTATGAGTCCATACAATCTGGTGTTTCTTACCCTAATTTTGAAAATGTGAAAGAAGTAAGTTAAAGATCAGAACTCCAGCTGAGAAAAAGCTGCAGCTCCCTCTGTGTGAGCTGCCGATGTTGTCCCCTGCCACGAGAAAAAGCTGTCCATGGCACTGCCTGTGGGCCAGGGCAGCCAGTTCTTCTGGGAATTGCTCAAAATGGAAAGAGATGTTAAAACAGCCACAGGTTTCATGGCACCATTGAGAATTCCTGATGGGCTTGACCCAGTGACACACTTAATCTATCTAGCTTGGATCATTTCTCAAAAAGCAGCCAGGCATTAACTTTTCCAATACATG